ATTCTCCATGGGCCCCCGAACCCGCCTCCTATGCTGCTGCCGGGTCCAGAGTTCTCATGGTCCCTGTACGGCCTCCCTTTTGCTGCTGTCTCCATCGCCAACTCTGCCATGTGCCACTTTCAGGTCTCCTCACACTGCTGGTGGTTAACAATTTTTTGTCATAGGGTGACCTCGGCTAGTTTACGCGCTCCCATTGTGCTGCCATGCCCGTAATCTGCATGGGCCCCCAGTACCCGCCTCCTCATGCTGCTGCCAGGTCCAGAGTCTCTCATAGGTCCCTGTGTACGGCCTCCCATTGCTGCTGTCTCCATCGCCACACTCTGCCATGTGGCCACTTTCAGGCGTCTCCTCACACTGCTGGTGTGGTTCCATTTTTTTGTCATGATGGGTGCTGGCAGCAGTTACGGGCCTCCCATTGCTGCTGCCCAGGCCCGTAGATCTGCCATGGGGGCCCCTGTACCGCCTCCTCATGCTGCTGCCAGGTCCAGAGTCTCTCATGGAGTCCCTGTACGGCCTCCCATTGCTGCTGTCTCCATCGCCACACTCTGCCATGTTGCCACTTTCAGGTCTCCTCACACTGCTGGTGTGTTACATTTTTTGTCATAGGGTGCTGGCCAGATTTACGTACCGCTTCCCATTGCTGCTGCGGTCAAGGCCCCGTAATCTGCCATGGGCCCCTGTACCCGCCTCCTCATGCTGCTGCAGCTGTCCAGAGTCTCTCATGGGTCCCTGTACGGTCTCCCATTGCTGCTGTCTCCATCACCACACTCTGCCATGTGCCACTTTCAGGTCTCCTCACACTGCTGGTGTGTGTTCCATTTTTTGTCATAGGGTGCTGGCAGGGATTACGGGCCTCCCATTGCTGCTGCCAGGCCCCGTAATCTGCCATGGGCCCCCTGTACCGCCTCCTCATGCTGCTGCCAGGTCCAGAGTGTCTCATGGGTCCCTGTACGGCCTCCCATTGCTGCTGTCTCCATCGCCACACTCTGCCATGTGCCACTTTCAGGTCTCCTCACACTGCTGGTGTGTTACATTTTTTGTCTATAGGGTCTGGCAGATTACGGGCCTCTCCATTGCTGCTTCCCGAGGCCCGTAATCTGCCATGGGCCCCTGTAACCGCCTCCTCATGCTGCTGCCAGGTCCAGAGTCTCTCATGGGTCCCTGTACGGCCTCCCAATGCTGCTGTCTCTCCATCGCCACACTCTGCCATGTGCCACTTTCAGGTCTCCTCACACTGCTGGTGGGTTACATTTTTTTGTCATAGGGTGCTGGCAGATTACGGGCCTCTCCCATTACTGCTGCCAGGCCCGTAATCTGCCATGGGCCCCTGTACCGCCCTAGCCAATCCTCATGCTGCTGCCAGGTCCAGAGTGTCTCTCATGGGTCCCTGTAACGGCCTCCCATTGCTGCTGTCTCCATCGCCACACTCTGCCATGTGCCACTTTCAGGTCTCCTCACACTGCTGGTGTGTTCCATTTTTTTGTCATAGGGTGCTGGCAGATTACGGGCCTCCCATTGGCTGCTGCCAGGCCCGTAATCTGCCATGGGCCCCTGTACCGCCTCCTCATGCTGCTGCCAGGTCCAGAGTCTCTCATGGGTTCCCTGTACGGCCTCCCATTGCTGCTGCCCGTCCATCGCCACACTCTCTGCCATGTGCCCACTTTCAGGTCTCCTCACACTGCTGGTGTTTTACATTTTTTGTCATAGGGTGCTGGCAGATTACGGGCCTCCCATTGCTGCTGCCAGGCCCCCAGTAATCTGCCATGGGCCCCTGTACCAAGCCTCCTCATGCTGCTGCCAGGTCCAGAGTCTCTCATGGGTCCCTGTACAGCCTCCCATTGCTGCTGTCTCCATCGCCACACTCTGCCATGTGCCACTTTCAGGTCTCCTCACACTGCTGGTGGGTTCCATTTTTGTCATAGGGTGCTGTATGGCCTCCCATTGCTGCTGCCTCCACCGCCGCACTGTGGCTCCACACTCTGGTTTTGGCCCCGTGACTTCCCAAATGAGTGAAGTGTGCGGTGATTCTAAGATCGACAGCACTCATCTGCATGTCATACTGACTGACAGTATTATTTCTCTTCCCCAGCAGACTCCAAGGGCATTTAAATTAAAGGTACAGTGTTCTGCACTAATATAAAGGCTCTCTGAAGCCTAGAAACACTATTTTATAAGTTAAAATTGCAGCGAATATATTCGCATCGAATCGAATTTATTCCTCGAATTCGCCGAATCAGCTGAATCGAATTTTTGAATACTTCGCTCATCTCTAATTATAAGGAAATGTAATTTTTAGATCTATCCATTTCAATTCAAGACGATAGTTCATTCACAAAAATGTATAGGAAAGAAACTACAGCATATACACTTCTACATGCGGGTAGCCATCACCCTGAATTACTGAAACAACGTATACCAATTGGTCAATTCCTTAGAATACGAGGAAATTGTACAAATGAAACTCAATTCAAAATAGAGGCTACACAGCTATATCAGAGATTCAGGGAAAGAGGCTACTCACATAGAACTTTGAGGAAAGCAAAATTTAAAGCTTCAAGTAAAGCTCGACATGTACTACTTGAAAGCAGAAATACTAATGCAACGATAACAGAAAATGAACCTATTAGGTTTATAACTAAATATAGTCAACAATGGAAGGAAGTTTAAAAAGTACTGCATTCGCATTGGCATATATTAAACAACCAACCCAGGAATAGCTGAGATAGTGGGAAATAAACCCCAAATGGTAGCTAAAAGAACATCTAACTTAAATGATATTTTGGTACAATCAGAATTTAGAAACATTCCTAAAGAAAATTGGCTGCCAAAAATGGGTAAAACTGCAGGTATGTTTTCATGTGGCCATTGTCAAATTTGTCCTTATGTACAAAAAAGCCAAAATTTCTATAATGCTGATAGTTCAAAAACTTTCAAAATAAAGAATTTTATAAATTGCTCTAGTAGTAGAGTGATTTACATGCTTGAATGCCCATGCAGGAAGTTCTATATAGGAAAAACTAAAAGATCTCTAAGAGTATGTATAAGTGAACATCTACGTGATATTAAAAATTATTAAAAAAGTAAAACTGAAAAAGAAAGGGAAAATCCCTTAGCTCAACACTTTAAGGAAGTACATCAGGTTAAAATAGAAGGCCTGAAAGTGAAAGGTGTTTTTTCTCCTTATTATTTCTTCCAGAAGAGGTGACTTTGATAGGATTCTTTTGCAAAAAGAAAAATTCTGGATCTCCACGCTGGCTACTTTGATACCCCAGTGGTTAAATACTGAATTAAACTTGAAAGTGTTTCTTAAATAGATAATGCACCTCCAAAACTATCCATGATGTTGTATCATTATAAAATATTCTATTACTCAATATATGAAAATGAAAACTTTGTTGATATGCCCCTTGTCACGGACTGCCAGTGCCTCACCCATCCCCCACCATATCCCTCCACCCCTCCCTTTCCCCTTGCACATTCCGATGTCTGTGGAGCTTCCATGGACAGGGCTGGGCCGGCCATTGCCGAGGCAACCTAGCCGCATCCCACATGGTTTTCAAAAGACCCGCACAGGAAGCAGCCCTCTTCTCTCTGTTCCTGTCCATGCTGCTGGAATCATCTTGCTCCCGGAAAGATGCTGGGAGGCTCGAGTGAGGGGGACCGAGCCTCCCCAGCCATCCCCCCTGCGCACTCTGCAGACCCCCAAAAGGTCAGGACTGTAGCCCTCTGCAATACCCCAGGGTTGGGAGTCTCCACAGCTCTGCATGAGTCTTCCCCTCAAAGGTCAGACCCCACAGCTGAGACCCTGCCAGACCCTGCAAGTCTGTAAGCCTGTCTACTGAGCACCCTTGCACCCTGTCTGCTGCTGAATGCCCTGGGAGCTGCTGCTGAGGGACCCTGCACACTATCCGTGGCTGCATGTCCCTGGAAGCTGTCTGTTGCTGAGTGCCCTGGGAGCTGCTGCTTAGGGACCCCGCACACTGTCCATGGCTGCGTGTCCCTGGAAGCCATCCGCTGTTGAGTGCCCGGGGAGCTGCTGCTGTCTGCTGATTGCTGGTTGTCCCTGGAACGCCGACTGCTGGTCCTCCCTGTCTGGAGTCGCCTGCCGCTGAGGGTCTGCAAGCTGCTTACTGTGAGTGTCCTGAACTGTCCCTGTTGTGCGCACTGACCACCTGTGTCTTGAACTGTCCCTGTTGTGCGCAGTGACCACCTGTGTCTTGAACTGTCCCTGTTGTGCGCACTGACCACCTGTGTCCTGAACTGTCCCCGTTGTGTGCACCGACCACCCATGTTCCGAACTGTCCCTGCTGTGTGACCGACAACTTGTGTTCTGAACTGTCCCCGCTGTGTGCACCGACCACCTGTGTCCTGAACTGTCCTTGTTGTGCGCACTGACCACCCATGTTCTGAACTGTCCCGGCTGTGTGCAACGACCACCCGTGTTCTAAACTGTCCCTGCTGTGTGCACCGACCACCCGTGTGTCTGAACTGTCCCCCGCTGTGCGCACCGACCACTCGTGTTTCTGAACTGTCCCCACTGTGCGCACCGACCACCCGTGTTCTGAACTGTCCCCACTGTGTGCACCGACCACCCCTGTCCTGAACTGTCCCTGTTGTGCGCACTGACCACCTGTGTCCTGAACTGTGCCTGCTGTGTGCACCGACCACTCGTGTCCTGTAACTGTCCCTGGTGTGTGCACCGACCACTCATGTCCTGAACTGTCCCCGCTGTGTGCACCGACCACCCGTGTTCCGAACTGCCCCCGCTGTGTGCCCTGACCACCTGTGTCCTGAATTGTCCCTGTTGTGCGCACAGACCACCTGGGTTATGCAGTGCCCTACTGCACGCCTAGACTACCCTTACTTGAACCGCCCCATGGCGTGCCCGGAGTATAGCTACCTGTGGTGCCCATGAGTGCTTGAGCATCACTACCCGTTGAGTCCTCGTGAATCCAATGTCCCTAGAATGCTGGGTAGGAGCTGTGCTGAGGCCAGACTCCACAGCTAGAGTCCCGTTGAGTCCCCAAGACCCCTGCCCAGGGGTAGATTGCCGCCTGTTGCCCGAGGCCCCCTGCCCAGTGGTAGGTTTCCCCTGTTGCTCAAGGTCCCTGCCCAGGGGTAGATTGCCGCCTGTTGCCCGAGGTCCTTGCCCAGAGTCCTGATGATTGGGTAAACCCACCTAATCTTTTGTATTTTGGCTGAAAGAAATGGGTAAAACTACACACTATCCTTGGCTGTGTGTCCCTGGAGGCTGTCTGTTGCTGAGTTCCCTGGGAGCTGCTGCTGAGGGACCCTGCACACTATCCGTGGCTGCGTGTCCCTGAAGCTGTCTGCTGCTGAGTGCCCTGGGAGCTTCTGCTTAGGGACCCTGCACACTGTCTGTGGCTGCGTGTCCCTGGAAGCCGTCTGCTGTTGAGTGCCCGGGGAGCTGCTGCTGTCTGCTGATCGCTGGTTGTCCCTGGAACTCCGACCGCTGGTCGTCCCTGTCTGGAGTCGCCTGCCGCTGAGGGCCTGCAAGCTGCTTACCATGAGTGTCCTGAACTGTCCCTGTTGTGCGCACTGACCACCTGTGTCTTGAACTGTCCCTGTGGTGCGCACTGACCACCTGTGTCCTGAACTGTCCCTGCTGTGTGCACCGACCACCTGTGTTCTGAACTGTCCCCGCTGTGTGCACCGACCACCCGTGTACTGAACTGTCCCCGCTGTGTGCACCGACCACCCGTGTCCTGAACTGTCCCCCTGTTGTGCGCACTGACCACCCGTGTTCTGAACTGTCCCCGCTGAGTGCACCGACCACCCATGTTCTAAACTGTCCCCGCTGTGTGCACCAACCACCCGTGTTCTGAACTGTCCCCGCTGTGTGCACCAACCACCCGTGTTCTGAACTGTCCCCACTGTGTGCACTGACCACCCCTGTCCTGAACTGTCCCTGTTGTGCGCACTGACCACCTGTGTCCTGAACTGTGCCTGCTGTGTGCACCGACCACTCGTGTCCTGAACTGTCCTCGCTGTGTGCACCGACCACCCGTGTTCCGAACTGCCCCGCTGTGTGCACTGACCACCTGTGTCCTGAATTGTCCCTGTTGTGCGCACAGACCACCTGGGTTATGCACTGCCCTACTACACGCCTAGACTACACTTACTTGAACCGCCCCATGGCGTGCCCGGAGTATAGCTACCTGTGGTGCCCCTGAGTGCTTGAGCCATCGCTACCCGTTGAGTCCCCGTGAACCCAATGTCCCTAGAAAGCTGGGTGGGAGCTGTGCTGAGGCCAGACTCCACAGCTAGAGTCCCAATGAGTCCCCGAGACCCCTGCCCAGGGTAGATTGCCGCCTGTTGCTCGAGGCCCCTGCCCAGTGGTAGGTTGCCGTCTGTTGCTCGAGACCCCAATCCCCAGGCGTAGATTGCCGCCTGTTGCCCGAGGTCCCTGCCCAGTGGTAGATTGCCGCCTGTTGCCTGAGGTCCCTGCCCAGTGGTAGGTTGCCGCCTGTTGCCCGAGGCCCCTGCCCAGTGGTAGGTTGCCGCCTGTTGCTCGAGACCCCTGCCCAGGGGTAGGTAGATTGCCGCCTGTTGCCCGAGGTCCCTGCCCAGTGATAGGTTGCCACCTGTTGCCCGAGGCCCCTGCCCAGTGGTAGGTTGCCCGCTTGTTGCCCGAGTCTCCAATTCGCTGTCCAGTCACGGAGGGAGCTCGGCTGAGGCCCCAAGCCTAGGGGGAGATTGCCTGCCTGTCACCAAAGACCCCCCCATGCCTGGAATCGTCCCTGGTTTGTACACACATCACCCTCCCTGCCATTTCCCCATTGAGTGTGTCTGTCATTTTGTTGCTTCAATAAAGCTTTGTGTGTTCCCCATCTTCTCTGTGTGCTCTGTCCTGCCTACGCTTCCGTTACACCCTTATATGGTCATCTGCTGTATGATAATGAATAGATATAATATGTGATATATCTGTTGATCTTATAGCCACCCTTTAATGATCTATATATGTCAGTAATTTTTTTAGAATTTAATTTAGATTTGGAAACAATGTAGTGATGACATTTCAACACAAGAGGGCGACAAATAGAATAGATTATGCAAATACCGCACTATATAAGGATTAGAAAGATGTCCCCTCCCAGTTCTGACGAAGTCTGCAATGATTGGCGGATGAAACGCATCAACGTAATGACATCATCAAGCCCTGTGTAACACCATGCTGTTGTGTCCATGAGTTGGAAGAGGTACACCACACGCCTCCATCTTGGATATTCTCTGGGGAAGACGGAAACCGCTAGCTAATGAGCTTACTACCGGAAGTCTATTCAGTAATGTATGACGATGTATACAACTTCCACCGGTGGCAAGTAATTTTTGAAATGTGCTAAGCATTGACTTGCATTCTGATATGACACGGAACATTTTTGTTCATAGCCTTTACAGAGCAAGTTTATAACTCATATTTAGAAGAGGAATTTTTGGGCCTACCAAAGGCTATTTTCATCTATATGAATCCATGTAATTACAGGATCAAGATTCTAGATATTTATATACTATCTACAGTCAAAATATTTTTTTTTTATGAACAAGAGGAAAATCTCCTTCATTTTTGATGACGGACCACCAGATCTAATTTTTCTTTACATGAATACAGTGACGACCTCTATTGGGATTTAGCATAATAGTGCCATTAATAGAGGTCATCCTGCTAAAGTAATATCGGCTGATTGAGGCTGGCTATACATTGTCAAATCTTGTCAGCATACCACACATGATGATGACAAGATATAATGAAGGATTTTTCCACTTGCTACCTCTATACTCAATATTGATGACCACATATGTGAAGTGTAAAGAAGTATCCGCTTAACCACTTGCCCTCCTGAGGATTTACCCCCCTTCCTGACCAGGCCTCTTTTTGCTACTCGGGGCTGCACTAATTCAACTGATAATTGCACAGTCATGCAATGCTGCACCCAAACAATTTTACATCCTTTTTTTCCACACAAATAGAGCTTTCTTTCGGTGGTATTTAATCACCTGTGCGCTTTTTATTTTTCACGCTATAAACAAAAAAAGACAAAAAATTTTGAAGAAAAACAATATTTTTTACTTTCAGCTATAAAAAATATATAGTAAACTGAAAGTTAGTTATAAATTTAGGCCAAATGTATTCTGCTACATGTTTTTGGTAAAAAAAAATCCCAATAAGTGTATATTGATTGCTTTGTGTGAAAGTCATAGCGTCTATAAACTATGGTATAGATACTGCAATTTACGCCATTTTTTTGCTATACAGCGCTGCGCTAGTTTAACTGACAATTGCAAGGTCAAGCAATACGGTACATAAATAAAATGTATATCCTTTTTTTACACAAATAGAGATTTCTTTTGGTGGTATTTGATCACCTGTGTACTTTTTATTTTTGGCGTTATAACCAGAAAAGGTTTTTTTTGAAGAAAAAAAAAAATTGTCTTGAAAAAAACAATATTTTCTCATTTCAGTCATAAAAAATATCCAAAAAAACTGAAATTTCATCATAAATTTAGGCCAAAATGTATTCTGCTACATGTTTTTGGTTAAAAAAATCCCAGTAAGTGTATATTGATATTGATTGATTTGTGTGAAAGTTATAGCGTCTACAAACTATGGTATAGATAATGGAATTTACACAGCTTTTACTTTCTGACTGCCCATCACATTTCTTGAGGTGCTAAAATACCAGGATTGTACAAATGGAAGTCCATGGAAGAGTTATTTTTTTTCCACGAGTTTCTAGAAAATGACAAACTTTTTTTTTTTTACACGAAGTTGTCATTTAAATGATTTATTTCTCGCACAAGCCATGGGTATATGTGGAATTACACGCCAAAATACATTCTGCTACTTCTACCGAGTATGAGGATACCACGTGTGTGAGACTTTTTTGGAGCCTGAAATCCAATGACCACTTTGAAAGCCTGAACGTGCGTAACTTCCTCATTACACTTCCTCACCACCTATCACAGTTTTGAAGGCCCTGACATGCCAGGATAGCACCCCCCCCCCCCCCCCGAAATGACCCTTTTTCTGGAAAGTAGACACCCCAACAAGGAATTTAAAAAGAGGCATGGTGAGTATTTTGCAGATCTCATTTTTTCTCACAAGGTTTTGAAATATAAAAAAGAATAGAAAAAATATGTTTTTGGTTTTTTTCTTCATTTTCCAAAAAAAAAACTGTGATAGGTAGTCTGGAAGTGTAATGAGGAAATAAAGCCCTTTAAAAGCCTGAAGGTGCTTATTGGATTTTGGGGTCCTGTACTTGGCTAGACTGCCAAAACATCTCTCACATGTGGTACCCCTATACTCGGGAGAAGTAGCAGAATGTATTTTGGGGAGTAATTCCATATATACCCATGGCATGTGTGAGCAGTAAATCATTTAAGTGACAATTTTGTGTAAAAAAAAAAAAATTTTTTTTGTCATTTTCCAAAAACTTGTGGTAAAAAAAATAAATTCTTATATTGATTCAACATGCCTCTCAGCAAATAGCTTGGGGTGTCTACTTTCCAAAAAGGGGTCGTTTTGGGGGGTGGGAGCATTCTATGCCCAGCATTAGAAGTTTATGCCACACATCACTCACTCTTTCTGAAGACCAAGCCTTTTCTGACACTTTTTGTTCACCTGAAAAAAATCTGTATTTTTTTCTAGGAAATTAATTTAAACCCCCAAATATTTTTTTAAAGCAGACACCCTAGTGAATAAAATGGTGGGTACTACAATTTTTTATAGCATATAGTACTCGCGCAGCGATTTTTCAAAAACAAATTTAAAAAAAAAAATACACTTTTTTTACTTTTAATGAACAAAAACACAATATATTGGCCCAATTATTTGATAAAATATAAAATATAATGGTATGCCGAGTAAATAGATACCAAACATAACATGCTTTAAAACTGCGCATGCCCCGTGCAATGGCGACAAACTGCAAACATTTTTAATATTCATAGGCAACACTTTAAAAGCTACCATTTTAGATTTACAGAGGAGGTCTAGTGTTAGAATTACTGCCCTTAATCTGACGTTCACGGCAATACCTCACATGCCTGGTGCAACCGCTGTTTACATACCGGCACAGGGTCAAGGCTTGTGCACACAGGTGTGCACGCATGGGAGGGGCGATTTTTACTTTTTTTTTTTTTTTTAGTTATTTTGATTTTTTATTTACATTGTACCTTTAATTTTTTTTTATCACTTTTAATGCTATAACAGGGAATGCAAATATCTCCTATAACTTCAATGAGCATTGTCATATATTCTTTTTTGAGAAATCAGGGGTCTATCAGACTCTGGATATCTCCTCTGCCCTTACATTATCTAATCAAACCAAAATCGGTGTGATCAGATGCTTTCCCAATGTACAAATGGCACTGTTTATATCCTGCAAAACTGAAGTGATGAAATGCTTGTAGCTTCCACTCTGGTCTCCAATCAGCTCTATGGTCAGCTGGCAGATACACCAGCTGCATTCTCAGGTTCTCCCGATGGCACGAGACTGCCCGAGAAGGCTGTGGAAGGCAGCAGGGAAGGGGGAGCATCATCTCCTGCTGCTTGTAAAAGCAATCCTGCAGCTAATTAGCCACTAGGATTGCTTTTACATGAAAGTTGATCGCTGGCTGAAAAAAACAATGCTAGGATGATGCCTGCAAAGTCCAGTGATGTACCAGTACGTCGCTGGTCCTTGTTGGGTATACAGTATATACTATGTTCTTTTTTTTTTTTTTGTATGCAGCCTGTGGACTGAATGAAAAAATTAGAAGAAATCTCTTCTAGAAAAAGTTTGTGGTATGCCCACCATTAGAATATACCACCTTACATCCACCCACTTCTAATGGTGGGCACACATTAGGTCACACTTTGCCACAAGCACCAGTTCCAAGATTGAACAAATGTCTAAATAGTGTCACACTTGAATAAAAATTATCCACGTATAAGTGGTACCCCATATGGAAAAAGGATGATATCAAGTCCCAAACTATCTTGCCAAGGCTCCCCATGTAGTCTGGGCATCCGGAGGGCTCCACGTGACTATCTTTTCCCTTGTAAATCCAAAACTTATAAGTATAGCCTGTTGTCATCTCGCAGGTCTTCTACATCTTGACCCCATATCTGGCACACTTGCTGGGGAGAGAAATTGTTTGAATGCAAGGCGGCCAGACAAATGAATGAGGGACTCATCAACACAGATATTTTGCTGGGGAGTATAGACATCTGCAAATTTTTGGTTATGGTGATTTGTGTGGGGCTGAATTTTGTGCAGCCAATCAAATTCAGGGTTACCCCGAGGATGACAGAGTGTATTGTCGTTGAAATGCATAAAACACATGATACTCTCATATCTATTCCTGGCCATGGCAGCAGAGAACACGGGCATATGATGAATCGGGTCTGCGGACCAATACAACAGCAATTCATTTCTTTTAGTAATGCCCATGTTGAGGGTTAGGCCCAAAAAAAAATGTAAATTCGAAAACCGTAATGAGTTTCCATGCGAACAGTCTGGCAAGGTTTGAATTTGGGTTGGCGGCGATAAATTGTTGTGCATATAAATTGCTTTGATCTACAATCAACGCATACAGATATTCCGTGAAAAACAGCTCCAAAAATAAAGGAGGTATGTGAAAGACCAGGATGT